TTTCTTCAACAGAATCAAGACAAATGCAAGGAATGCAAACATAGAAAAATTGCAGACAGAACAGGGTCTGGCATCAAATCCACAACAAATCCTAGCAGCCGCAACAACCTTCTTTCAAAACCTCTACACATCCAAGGAGCAAGACTATTCTCTCCATGAAACATCGCATGCAAGAACCAAATTTCTGACTCATTTGGATAAGACTATTTCATCAGAACAGGTGATGACCTTGGATAAACCAATTTCGGAACACGAGGTGTACGAAGCACTACAATCTATGAATCCGAACAAGACCCCAGGACTGGACGTTTTATCCAAGGAGTTTTGGGTCTCCTTGTGGCCAGCTCTAGGTACAAAATATCTCCAATTCCTAGAGAAGGCTTGGAGTAGAGGGACACTGGGTAAGCTCCAGAGCATTGGCGTAGTCTCCCTTATCTATAAAAAAGGCGATCCAGCAGACATTAGGAACTACAAACCCATCTCATTACTCCCAGTAACATATAAAATTCTAGCTGAATTGCTAGCCAATAGAATTAGGGCTATAACAAGGAATTGCTTCCACATAGACCAGACAGGATTTATCCCTGGAAGACTCATCTTAGATAATGTAATGATCCTCAATGGATCAGTCAGATACATTCAAGATAAAAAAATAAATGTTGCAATACTGTTATTCGATTTTGAAAAAGCATACGATCAGGTCAATTGGAATTTCTTACAGCAATGCATGGAGAAAATGGGCGTAGGTCCAAACTTTAGAAAATGGGTCAGGGTCCTTTATTCGGATGCCCATGGCCTGGTTCAGGTCAACGGACACCTGCCACAACCATATCGTATGTCTCGATCGGTGAGACAAGAAGACCCACTAGCCGCCCCAATCTTCCTCTTCATCATGGAAGCAATTGCCTCTTTCCTAAGAAAAGACCCAGCAATCGAAAGGCTGGTACAAGATGCACAACACCCAGTAGCCTTACCTACCACCATTCTTTTTGCGGATGATTTGACAGTCCTAATACGTGCCTCAGACTCTACCTTCCAAGCCCTCACTAGGGCTATGCAAGCCTTCCAAATTGCATCAGAAATGAGAATTAACTGGCCCAAAACAATAGGCTGGTGGTTAACTTACTCACAAACCGCTCCCCCTCAGAGTACTCCAGAAAGAATGAATTGGTCTTTTGGCAACGCACCCCTCAGATTCCGAGGAATCCAAGTGTCCAAGTACGACGCTAACCAAGCAATGGCACCGGCCATAATGAACAAGATGATTGCTAAACTGGGTAGCTGGGTCCAATGTCTATACCGCAATTTTCGGCAGAGGCCTGATCCTGAATGCATCAATTTTTGCAATGATGTGGTATGCAGCCACAATTTGGAGCCCACCTAGGCAGCATAAAGTTCAACTCAGAAGAAGAGTGGCCACCTTTTTGTGGACAGGAGACCCGTCAAAAGACAAATTCATTCCCAAAGTAGCATGGAAGTATGTTACTCTGAAAAGATCGCAAGGAGGTTTGGGAATTCTGGACCCGGGAACCGAAATCCAAGCCCTTCGAACAAAGTGGATCATCAAAATGATAGCCAATAATAACCTTCCCTGTAGCAAGTTAGGACTGCACAAAAATACAATAAATAGCCAAATACAAAACCCCTGACAACATGCGTGGACTCTTTTGGATCATGAGTAAGTCCTGGGCTATGAAAGGCGGGGGGCAAGCTAATCACCAGGGGGACCAGGAAGATGAACAAGAGGAAGATTTTTGGAGGCAATTATTGAAAGCATGGAGGGAAATACTACCAGCCAAAGTAAGAGAACCAACAATTAAAGAAGAAGTTCTCAGGCAACCGATCTTCTATAACCAAGATCTGTTGGACCCACAAAGAAAACCATGGACCCTAACTACAAAGTGGGGGGCGTGGCTAGAAAAAGGAGTTTGGCAAATCAAACATCTTTGGCAGGATTCGAAAAAAAGATGGAAAACGATAGGAGAATTAAGAGAAACATTGAGGGGAACCCACAATCTACAAGCCAATCTGAATAACATATTGATTGCAGTACCAAGGAAATGGCATGAGCTACTGAAGGGTTCTTGTGAGTGGAGAACAGGGGAGTGGGCAACACAGCGGTCCGAAAACCTCCCCACTGCCGCTTATCAGTTCAGATCAAGGGAGGGACAAGGGAACACATGGGTAGTATGTGACATATACAGAATCAAGGACCCCGGATCAACCACAAGCCTCTTAGGTGGTAATTCTTCAGGAGAGATAACCTTTCCAGAACAAGCATTAAGGAAAGTAAGAGTGGTAGAATCTGACGAACGACGCATATATGAACCTTTACTAGGCATAGCAGAGTTGGAGGTCGATCCAGTGGAATGGGCATGGAAGAGGAAGTCTGGCAGACTAGGAATAGAGAAGCGTAATAACATCCTTGAATATTCTACTAAGCTGGGATATTCCCTAAGAATGAGATCGGTCTCAATAACCCAGACCATTAACCAAAGATGGGAAAACCACCTCAATTTACCACCTAACCAAACTCTCATCTCCTCATGGAGTAGACTACTCGCCATCACCCCCGTCAAGATAAGAAGCTTCCAATGGCTGCTAGCCTATCGAGCGCTCCCAGTTAACAAATGGTTGAACAAAAGAAGAAACGCCCAGGTGCAATCATCTATGAAAGAACGTTGTTCCATTTGCCAGGAGGGACTGACAGAGGATATAGAACACTGTTTGCTAGAATGCCAGAAAGCCAAACAGTTATGGACTCAAGCCTTCCGGCTTTGGCTCTTAATCACTAGCAAACCAATGCCATCGGATCGAGTCTCTCTCTTACTGGGACTACACACTGACAAGGCATGGCAGAGATTCGAAGTTTCTTTTTCCAAGTTCTAAGGCTGGCGACCTTATGGATGATTTGGAAGCGCAGGTGACAAGAAACACTGGACCACTCAACTATAGCACCCCAAGAAGCTAGGGAAGGAGCCTTGCAAATAGTAGAGCTCGAATATAGAGGAAGATGGAAAAGAACTTGCAGGGAAATAGTATTTTGCTAAAAAGGACAAAATAATAGAAGCTTTCGTAAAACATCAGTTGGGAGAGGGCAGGATTGCTGAAATAAAAAAGGACAGGCTCCATTTTAATCAATGGCGACATACTAATCTAGGGAGGCAGGAGATAGATGCCCCTGGAAGCAGAACTCACCTTACGGATATATCATCAAGGGGGAGATAAGGAGAGTAGGGCCGACACAGACCCTCACAAAGAAATAGACAAGACAATACCAGCACTTACTATATTATGGACTATTCTACCCTCTAATTTCAGCCAATCAGAGAAAGTACGGTTCGGGATGGTACACAAGGTTACACTACTTAAAAAAAAAAAAGATTCACTAACGCTGCAAAGCACCACCATAACCCCCTCAGGAATCCAAAATCCCTATGTCAACAGATACGGACACGGCTTACAAGAATAATTAGATGAGCCAGGGCCGGACTTATAGCAAGGACCACAGCAAGTGTAAACCTGCCAGAATTCAGCCCAAACAGAATTTAACACAAGCAGCCCTATCAGTAGGACTAACACAAAAGGAAAAACAGGCAGCCAAGGAGCTGAGAGGCACGAACCAGAAGGAACACAAAAATCAAGCCCCAAACACTAGAGCGAACGGAATTCCCGATTAGTAAAAAATAGGAGAAAAGTAGCACAGGCTAACTTAGCCAGGGGTGAGGGGGGGTATATCCTTCCTAATGGAAGCAATCAATGCCGCCCCTCGGGCCTCCACACCAGACAGGGGAGGAGCGCGAGCGTGTTCTCAAAAAGGGAAATTTAGAGGAAAGTAGGAGTAAAAACAGTCATCGGAAAGAAAGGAAGGGCTCACACCCCAAGTTAGAGGGAGGAAGAGGGTTCAGGGTTTAGGGTTTTCGAGATTAAGAACAGCACCTGTTTTACATTTTTAGAACCGAGGAACAGGTAAATCAATGAAGGACTAGGAATAGCGCCTTCCAAGAGAAACACTCAAGAAACAAACTGCGTACAACAAACGTCCCGAGAAGCTTAGGGTTTAGGGTTTAAGGGAAGGCAAAAGGTATAAACCGCAGTTCAGATAATTTTTTTACATTACCCGGCAGAGCAAGCAAACCCTTAGATGCCAGCCCTGGACATCAGCTCTAGCATCCAGGTTTATCCGACAGTACTCAGCTGAGAGGAGCTAGGATCCAGGCGACTCAGAGGATCAGAAGATAGAGGACATAGGCTAACTTAGGCAGGGGTGAGGGGTGGTACACCCTTCAATGCCGTCCACTCGGGCCTCTCAGCCAGAATGGGGAGGAGCGTGCGTGTGTTTTCATTGTATTCATATTTGACTTGTCGGGGGAACAGGAACCGGACTATTGCTCCCCAGAATGGCAGGAGCCAGAACCGAGAGGTTCTGTTTAAAAAAAAAGAGTCAGTGAAATTCCGACGGAACAGTCTGTCACAGCCCCTCATTGATGGTCCTTTTCCCCCTCTCTGCCTACAGCTCATCGGGCAGTTCTCTTTGGCGATATATACAATACTATTAGACATATGACCTCAGATTTGAGCCCGTGATTGTTTTAGCCGCAGGTAATGTACTTGCTGCCAAACTCATCGGGTTTCACTTATTTACTTTGAGCTTCAAACAACTCACAGAAGTTGGCTGGGGAAGGTGGGGGGGGAAGGGGGGGACGTAAATAAATAAATGATCTGACGTTGTTAACCTTACATATATAAATAGTCCTCAGTGGCATCTGTTATAACTGGAATGGTACAAAGAATATTATCATGGCCCGTGTAACGATGATGGTACGCACAACGCAAGTACGTCCGAAGCTCTACTCGAGGAGGCTACAGTTGTTTTGAGTCCTATGCCAGCTGACAAGACAAGAGGGCATTTGCAAATAAGTATTGAATTCCTAGGCCAATTAAAGGGTCTGCTGAATGCCCACTGCCGAGTTTATATCGCTTTGGTTGTGGTGATGCAGCATACGTGGCTCGCGTAGAGAGAATTTGGGACGAGATCGAGCACAATCTTTCAGGAGAGATGGAAGCTGTTCGTCGGAAGCGCAGCTTAGAAGAAGACAACACAGGCAAGGAGCACGGTGTGGAATCTATGGAGGACATTGGAAAGCCGTGTCCCTGAACGCAAGTTGAAACGTCATCTCCAGTGATTCAAAAAAATCACTAAGGTACGACAATTACCTAGCACTGTGCGATCTCCATGCTCCAACCTGGTTGCAGGGGGGGCATCTTTTTGAACACGGAACGCTTGGCATTCAGATGAAGGATAAGTCCAGACTGCTAACCACTACCGTCTTCACCCGGATAGAAAGCCCGGTAATTATCGCCGTATCTGGACTGGAAGTTGCCCCAAATACAGCTCTAATGACCGGGGGTCCAAGTTCTATTCAGGTGAAGACGGTAGTGGTTAGCAGTATTGTGGTGGTCGGCTTGTGCTGACTTTGCAGGGATGCATCAAGGGTGATGCGATCTGTGTGGAATTTCGTCCAGCTGACTCCAGCAGATGCCTTTTTAAGGACACTGTGATATTTTTCGCATTCGAGCACCTCGTTGTTCTCTGCTAAGTTCTAACTGTGTTTTCTACGATTCTCGCTGCCTCCTTCACTTCTCCTCGGCACAGTATGGTTGCAGTGCATGCTCGCTGTGTTTTTTTATCTGTGGTCCCCATTCTCTTTGTCACAATGAGGATGCAATTGCTGCCCACATCGTGCTGTCGATGCCCCTCCCGAACCCCACCTCCACCTTTCTTCTCTCGTTTGTGTTTGCTATGGGATATGTGCTTTTTGTTCTCCCCATATTACAAGCTCCTGTCAGCCGCACCGTTTGATGAACTTTGATCCCATTCCAGTTACTGCAAGCATAGTCATTCGTTTCTTTTGTCATGCTCCTCCCTCACTCACATCGTAGAACCAAATCCTCAGTCACACTGCACTACGCTGTTGTCCTGACTCCTGATCAGGGGCTCCGGCTCAAACCGTCAGTGTACCAACCTGCCTCTGCGATTGTGAGTCACTGATGCACTGAACCACCCATTTGCCATCCTGGTCATCTATTGGCTGTTGCTGGCTTCATCAGAGGTCATGCTACACACGCTCGTTTTCCTGCTACCCGCCGACCCCCGTGCCCACTCACCCCTGCACCCTTCAACCAGCTTTGACATTGCTTTTTCTATTTTGGCATGTTCTTCTGCCCTTCCTGGTGTATGCATGGCCCTGTGTTGCCCATGTGAACGACGGTTGATGATGTGTATGCCACCATACCCCACCCTTATCCCACCCCTCAGCCCCTTTAGGATGGACGTGATGCAGTGGAGAATTAAAATCACCCTTGCAACTTCTGAGGCAACGAATGTACCAGTGGTACTCTCTCTCTCTCTCTCTCTCTCTCTCTCTCTCTCTCTCTCTCTCTCTCTCTCTCT